GGCCAGCAGGGGGCGCTGCAGGGAGCGCTCCCGGCCAGCAGGGGGCGCCCCGGTCGAGCTCGATCCCCTCAGGGGCCATGGCGGCCTCGGGCGGGAGCCAGGAGGGGAAATCGCTCCTTTTGCAAACTCACGGGCACCATTCAGTCCCAGCACTACCACCGGCAGTGGGCAGCAGCTGCCAAGGCAACAGGCAGGATCCCAGAGCATAGGTGCAGAGTAGCAATGTCCCTGGCACACGCCCTACCCAACACCTGTGACCGCTCTCCATGATCCCAAATGGAAGGAAGGCAGCACCTGACCCCAGTCAGGTCTTGGATCCACAACAGCACCTCTGGTGGCTTCATGCCACACCCAGTTATTTTGGAGAAGATATGTTTTTATTCATGTAGGATTCTAAACTAGTGCTTTAAATTCACTTAAAAATATTTCTAAAGTTTTGCACTTTTAGAAGTGGGCTTCCTACAAAGAAGCATCTTTTAAAGATATAAATAAACACTTTCCTGGTTTCTTAGCATCTGTAGCATTCCCTTAATATATGTCTTTATGTAATTTAGTAACATGTGCAGTTCAACATTAGCTAAAGGCCGTTCCAGTTATCCCGTTCCCCGTAGCTCTCCAGAATCCAGAGACAGTCAGTAAGCAGGTCCAGTGCAGCCACACCAGAATGCGAATATTCTTCTTCGGCCGTTCCAAAAGGCTGCAGGTTTGAGACAGGAAGGAAGAGGGACCCAGTCAGATTGTTGAGCAGATTGTTGTTGTCTTTGCAGAATTTCTGGGGTACTCTCAGAACGTCCCTGCAAGAGACAAAATGATCAATTGCTGCATCTCCACACTGGTTCCCTCACAGCTGCCCCTGCGGGGGCAGTTTCCAGCCAGCCCTGCTCTGAAAACCATCAAAGGGCCTTGCAGAGCCACTGCTTGGGCTCCCTTTGGGGTTTGTGCTTCTTGCAGGGCTGAGCAAACCACAGGGAGGACTTGTTCCCCCACAGAATTCTCACCTCTGCAGCAGCTCCACTGACCCAGAGCCCATCAGAACATGTCTGGGATGACCCCCAGGCCATTGGCACCTTATGGGGGCACTGCTGGCTCTGGCTCACCCCAAATTCTGAGGCACCCAGGCAACGAGCTGAGACCCCTGTGCCCACACAGCCACTGCCCATCCCTGGGACATCCATTCCCCTGGAAATCTCATCTTGGGAACCCCATTCCTTATGTCTCACCTTGCCTGGGACCCCCATCCCAGTACTGACATTCCCCAGTGCCTCCATTGCCCAGCACCCCATTCCCAAGGAACCTTCTCATGTTCATTCCATCCCCTGAAATCTCCCTTCCCCAGGGGCCTTGATTCTCCCAGGAACCCCCATTCCCACGGGACCCCCCATTCCCCCGGCAGTCCATCCTTGTCACACCCATGCCATGACCCCAAATCCCTGGAGCTCACGTTCCCCTGGCACTCCCGTCTCTGAGTCCCCCAGCCCTGGGGTCCCCCATTCCCATAGCCACCCCCATTCCCAGTGACTCCACCCTCCTCAGGATCCGTATACCCATGGACCCCATCCCTGGCACTCCCCATTCCCCTGGACACCCATCCCTGCCTCCCCAAAACCCCTGAGCCCCCCACTCCTGGGAACCACAAATCTCACCTTGTCCCACCCAGCCTCATCCCCATCCGGTCCCCAGCCTGTGGCCACCCTGCCCCCACCAAGGGCCACCACCCATTGCCTTGATCTCTCCTCCCTGGGGACCCCCATCCCAGGACTGCCATTGCCCAGGACCACCACAGCCTTGATCCCATCCCATGGGCTGCTTCTTCACCCAGAACCACTATTCCCAAGGGTCCCTTTTCCCCCCTGCATCCCCAACCCTGGCACCCACATACCATGACCCCAAATCCCTGGGGACCATGTTCCCACAGCACCCCCAACCCTGAATCCCCCCAGGCATGGAGACCCCAATTCCCCTGGTCCCCCATTCTCCTGGACACCCATCCTTGGTTCTCTACATCCCCTGAGCCCCCCTCTCCTGCACAGAGCATCCCTCACCATATCTGCTGACTATCCCATCATGTCCCCAGTCTGTTCCCAGCTTGTTGCCACCCTGCCCCCACCAAGGGCCATCAACACTTGGGGACAAGACGTGACCTCGCTTCCTTCCCCTTCATCCGAAGAGCTGCCAGCCAGGGGAGCGGTGGCCAAAGCAGCGAGTGACAGCCAGTCCGCATGGCTGGGGACAGCGGGATGGCCGGGAAGGTGGCGCTGCTCCTGTGGGGTGAGTGCCCCGGGCACGGGCCTGACAGCCCAGGCATGGGGAGAGGAGGGGGCACAGGGGGGCTGCAGGGTCCCCTGATGTCCCCAAAGCCAGCAGGGCATGGAGCCCAGAGTGAGCAGAGTTGTGGGGTGGCTTTGGGGACAGGGAGGGGAACTGGGATGTGGGAACAGGAACAGGAGGATGGAGATGTGGGGAAAAGGATGTGAAAGAGCCTTGGGGCTGGGGCAGCTGTGGGGACAGGGATACAGGGATGCAGGACAGGGACAAGGGGACAAGCACCCTGTGCGTGGGCCATGGGGACAGGTGCCAGAGGAGTGGGACCACGGGCACAGGGTCATGGGGATGTGGCTGTGGGGCTGGCAGGGGTGACCTGAGCCAGCACAGGGTCCCCATGCCTGAGCATGGCTTGGGTGCTGTGTCCCTGTCCTCCAGACATCTGTGCCACACCAGTGTCCCCACAGAGACCATGTGGGGACAGCCCCCACACCCCGTGTTCCCTTGCTGCTGTCCCCACAGTGCCACCCCCACTGAGCCCTGTCCCTTCTCCCTTCCAGCCCAGACCCTCGGCCTCGCTGGTGAGTCCTCAGGGGATGCCATGGCCCCACCCCGCTGTCCCCAACAACGGGCAGGAGGTGGCCCGGGGTCCCTTCCTGGAGCTGGGGGACATCGATGTGGGACATTCGGGCACCTACCAGTGCGTGGCCACCAACCAGCTGGGACAGGACGGGCACCGCGTGTTCCGGGCACTCAGCCCAGAGCTGGCCCTGGAGGTGACACCTGGCTCACCCTGGGTCACAGGTGGGGTCACATGGGGCCACCAGGGAGTGCAGGACCCCTGGCGTGATGGGTGACCCTGATGTGTCCCCCTCTGTTTCTTGCAGTGGCCGCAGGGGTCGGAGGGGCCCTTTTGTTCCTGCTCCTGCTCGTGGGTGTCATTGTGGCCTGGCACCGCTGGCACCGTGTGGGTGGGTGACAATGGGGGGACAGAGGTCCAGGGAGCTGTAGAGGTGCCCAGATTTGGGGAGCAACAGGGCAGCACCGACAGCCCCAGAACTGTGACCTTGTCTGAGGGTCCTGTAGGGATTGGGGAGGTGCTGGAGTGTCCTGCAGGGATGTTGGTGGCTCTTTCAGGATCCCTGGGGGTGTTTGGGGGGGTATCTGTCTCTGCCAGGCTTTGGGTTCTTGAGGCACAGTTCTTTGAGGGGGCACTCGGGAGGTTCATGAATTCTGGGGAGCTTCAAGGATGCTTAGGGGTCCTGAAAGGGTCCTGTGGGGGTTCAGGAATCCTGAGAGGGGTCAGGGCCTTGGGACCCCACAGTCACCCCTCCCCTCTTTCCTCTTCAGCTGCCAGGAAGCACCAAGAAAGGTGAGTGGGGGGCTCAAACCACACTCTCTCCTTTTACCCCAACCCCCAAGGCCTCCCATTCCTTCCCCCACACCCCCTTTAATCCCTCAGGGTCCCCCCGGATCCCCCGGCCCCCCCAGAGGAGGGGGAGGTGCTGTACAGCCACGTCGTGGTCACCAAGGGAACAGGGGGTGAGTACAGGGGGGACACACACAGAGGGGCACGTCACCCACCAGTGTCACCCCACCCAGATCCCACAGCCCGTGTCTCTCGCAGGGTCCCCGCATGCCACCACACTCCAGGATCCGCAGGTGACCTACGCGGAGCTGTGGGGACACCAGGGGCAACCACGGGAACCCGGTGACATCTACGGGAATGTGCTGTGATACTGGGGGGCACTGGGGGTCCCCACCCATGGGCACATGCTCCTGTGTGTGCTGCCACTAAAAAACTGCCCCTGTCCCTCCCTGTGGAGGCACAAAGATCCCAAAGGGCTGAGAGAAGAAGAATTTCCTGAAACAGCAACGAGACAGAATAAAACCGACAACAACAGCAACAAGCTTCAGACTCCAAATGGTCACAAAAGGAACAATTTCCAGGGAAAGCAACAACAAGGAAAAAACCCCAGACATTTTCCCCAGCACGTTTCCTCGGCCAGAGGAACCTGGCAGGGCGCTGGACCTTCACTGCTCTGATGGCCAAAGTGGCCTTCAGGAGGCTCTGGATTCTCTTGTCCCCTGTCCCAAACCCTTCCTCTGCCATGTTCCCCACACCAGGATGGCACCAAGGCCCTGTGGGGGTTCCAGAGCCTCCCCTTTTCCAGGGCAGTCAGGATCAGGCCATGGCACAGGGTGGGGTGTCAGAGACAGGTCCTGCTCCCATGCCAGCTGCTCCTGCTGGGCACTGGGGACACGGGGACATCACTGGGACACTGGGACAGTGGCACAGCTGTGGCACTGGGGACACGAGGACATAAGAGCAACACTGGCATGGGGACACAGGGACACTGGCACAGCTGGGTCTGATCCCAGGCCAGCTGCTCCTGGTGGGCATTGTGGGGACACGGGGACACTGCCACAGTCCCCTGGGCACAACTGGCATGATGTCCCTGGCTCCAGGACAACAACACCGTCCCCTGGGCATGGCCTGCACAGTGCCTGGGGGGACACCGGTGACCCCGGAGCCACCAGGATAGCACAGGGACCCTGCCAGAATCACCTGGTCACACCTGACAGCTCCTGGGGTGACACCGGTGTCCCCAACCCCCCAGCTGTCCTTCTGCCATCCCCAGTGCCACTCATCTGAGCAGGGTGAGGAAGTCGCGGTGCTCCTGCTGCAGTGCCAGTGCCAACTGCTGTCACCGCTTTGTTACCTGCTTGCGGCGGCCCCGCTGCAGCTCCTGTGCAGCTCCGCATGGCGCTGCTCCTGCTGCAGCTCCCGTTACCACCACTCCCGCTCCGCCGCCACCTGGTTGTGCTTGAAGCCCAGAGCCTCCTGCACAGAACTCCGGAGAGAGGACAGAGGTGCCAGTGCCACCCACTTGCCCCTCCTGCCAGCCCCGCTCGTACTCCTGCATCGCCTTGAACCGCTCCAGCTCCGGCTGCCGCTCCTGCCACAGCTGCGCCCGCTCCACCTCCAGCGCCGCGTCCTGCTAGCTCCCCCTGGATCTGCCACTTCTCTGCCAGCTGCCGGTCCAGGATGAAGCTGCAGCCGGTGCTCAGCAGGAGCTGTGGGACACGGGAATGGAAATGGGAAATGGGAAATGGGAAATGGATAATGGGAAATGGGAAATGGGAAAAAGGAAAAAGGAAATGGGAAATGGGAACCCAAGCTTCCTCCTGGATCAGCTGGAATTCCTCGGTGCTGATGGTGAGCAAGGCCGGGGACCGATCCCTGGGAATTCTGGGGGACACGGACTAGGATCAGGGACACGGGGAAAAATACCCTGGATTTTGGGGAAAATAATCCTAAATCTTGGGGGTAAAGAATCCCAAATTTTGGGGAAAATATCCCAGATTTTCAGAGAAAAAATCCTGATTTTTTTTTTAATGTCCTGAATTTTGGGGGAAAAAAATCCAGAATTTTCAGTGAAAGAATCCCAAATTTTGGGGAAAATATCCCAGATTTTCAGAGAAAAAATCCTGATTTTTTTTTTAATGTCCTGAATTTTGGGGGAAAAAAATCCAGAATTGTCAGTGAAAGAATCCTGAATTTTCAGTGAAAGAATCCCAAATTTTGGGGGAAAGAATCCCAGATTTTGGGGGGGAAAATCCTGGATTTTGGCTGGGAAAATGGTGGATTTTGGGAGCCTCGTATGAGCTCCCGGATCAGGTCCACAGTGATGACCTGGATGGTTTTGGGTTTGTCCCAGAGCGAAGGCAGCGCTCCGGGGGTGGTGGTGATATCCTGGAGCAGCACAATGTGGATGGAGATGCCCACGGGCTGTGGGAAAGGACAGGTGAGACCCTCTCAAAATTTCCCCAAAAACTCCCATAAAAATCACCCCCAAGATACCATAAAAATTCTCTGAAAATCCACCAAAATCAACTCCAAGTCTCCCCAAACCCCTCAAAATCCCTACCCCAAAATTGCCCCAAATTATCTCTAAATCCTCCCCAAATCCTCCAAATCACGACAAAATCCTCCACATTCTGCACAAAAAATCCCCTAAATCCCCAAAATCTCCCCAAACTCTCCTAAATCTGCCCCAGATTACCCCAAATCTCACCAGACTTCTCCAAAATCACCTCCAAATCACCCCCAAAACCCCTCTTAATTTCCCCACCACCCCCAAAAATTCCCCAAATCACCCCAAAGGTCACCCAGATCACCTCACCCATGGATGACCCTGGAGCCCAACCTAGACCCTCCAAATTTCCCCCAAATACCCCAGGATCCCCAGCCAAAATCACTGCATTTTCCGTGTCCCCCAGCTCAGGGGCCCTGGGTGGTGCTCATCTCTGCCCCCACTCTGGGGGCTTCTCCTCACTCCAGGACGCCCATCCCCCTCCACTGTCACCCCCCCCGCCACCAGTGGTGCCAGCAGTGACAGCCCCCGATGACAGCCAGGAGCAGGAGCAGAAACAGGAGGGTCCTGCCAACATTCACAGTCACTGCAAGAAACAGAGGGAGACATATAGGGGTCAACCTGAATCCAGAGAGTGCTGAACAACCCAGTGATGCTGTGTGACCCCACCTATGATCCAGGGTGAGCCAGGTGTCACCTCGAGGGCCAGCTCTGGGCTGAGTGCCCGGAACACGCGGTGCCCATCCTGTCCCAGCTGGTTGGTGGCCACGCACTGGTAGGTGCCCGAATGTCCCACATTGATGACCCCGAGTTCCAGGAGGGGACCCCGGGCCATCTCCTGCCCATTGTGCAGCCAGGTGGAGGTAATAGGGGCTGAGCCCACCTGCACCGAGCAGCGCAGGGTGACGTTTTCACCTGCGCGCACCTGGTGTGCCAGGGGACCGGGGGTGATGGTGGCATTGGCCACGGGCACTGTGGGGACACAGACAGGGCTGGCACAGGAGAAGTGGGATGAGGGTGCCATGGGTGGGGTCACCCCCATTCCGAGGGTCCCACTCAGCCAGGATGGTGACATTCAGGGGGTCACTCTCGGCCACGCTGTCCCCATCTCTGACCCGGCACCGGTACTGGCCACTCTCATTGTACCAAACGTGGCGCAGCTCCAGGCAGGAGCTGGTGCCCAGCAGTGCCTCTATGCCATCCCGGTGCCAGGAGAAAGACAGGGGACCTGTCCCTGTGGCCACTGCACAGCTCAGCACCAGGTGGTCCCCCAGTGCCACCTGTCCCCCGGGAGGCTGCACCGACAGGGACACCCCTGAGAGCAGGAGACCTACAGGGGGACACAGGAGGGATTGGGGACCCAGGAAGGGTAGAGGACATGGGAGGGGAAAGAGGGGGGATTGGAGGGGAGCAGAGAGGATCCCAGTGAGCAGAAGGGGACCCTGGGAGGCATGTTGGGACATGGGGAAAATGGTGAGTTCCCGTGGAAAGGGAGAGAGACCCAGGCAAGGGATGGGGAACCACAGGAGAGACTGAGGAGACACAGGGAATGATTTGGGGTTTAGAGACGTGTGGGTGGAGGCAGGGAAGGAAGGGAGAGCAGAGGGTGGAGCAGGGACCTTGGAAGGGGTGGGGAATGCAGGGAGGACTGGGGAGGACACAGAGAGGGATGAGGGATCTGTAGGGGGAACTGGCCAGTCATGGGGGAAAGCAAGATGGACTTGGGAAATAGTGGGTGAGCCAGGGAAGAGTAAAGGGAGGGATGAAGGATTCAGGCAGTGCTGGGGAAACCCGTGGAGGATGTCTGGCTTCCCTGTCCCCATCCCTGCACTCACTGTGCACTGTCAGTGTCACGACCTCTGACTTCTTCCACGTTGACTCCACATAACCCCCACAGTGGTAGCGGCCACTGTGGCTCAGCTGCAGGGGGGACAGGGACAGCTCGGTCCCATAATGGGGCCCCCTCAGATACTTCTCTTCATGGTAGAAGTACACATCTGTAAGCAGTTTGTTCAGCTACCTCTGGCAGCGCAGTGTCACTGTGTCCCCCTCCAGCAGTGCCCGTGCTGGCACCTGCAGCACCAGCCAGTCTGGGAGACAGAGGGAACCTGTCACACCAGGGGCATCAGGAGGGTGTTGATGGCACCAGGAGGCCCCAGGGACCACCCATTTTGAGAGAGAAGTCCCCTCGCTCTGGGATGAGAGCAGGGGACAGGCTGTGGTCACACAGGAGGTGACCCATGGAGCAGAGCCCACCCAGAGTCCTTGGGGTCCCCGCGGGGGCCAGGCTGGGGACAACCAAAACCCCCTCACCATCTGAGACTGTCACGGGGGGGCTGTGCCCAGTGTCAGGTCTGTCACAAGTGTAGGTGCCACTTTCGGTGGCAATGAGGCTCTCATTTCCCTGCTGCCTCCAGTGCTGCCTGTCCCTGTACCAGGTGGTGGCACTGTCGGTCCCCGAGCCCTGGCAGGTCAGTGTCACCCGGTCCCACAGCACCGCCGGCCTCCAGGGGGGCTCCACGAGGAGCTGGGTGGTCTGGGCACCTGCGGCTGACAGGGGACACCAGCCTGCCAGGGGACATCAGCCTGCAAGGGCTAGCACGGGGCTGGGAACAGCGGGGAGGGGCCATGGCATCTGCAGAGGACTCACCAGCGAGGCCGAGGGTCTGTGCTGGAAGGGAGAAGGGACAGGGCTCAGTGGGGGTGGCAGTGCAGGGACAGCCGCATAAGGGCACAGGGTGTGGGGACTGTCCCCAAATTGTCCTTGTGTGACATGGATTCCATGGATACAGGGACAATGCAACCACCCCCATGCTCCGCCAGAATGCAGGGACATTTTGGACACCCCTGAACTGGGGACTCCACGGCCACCCCACGCTGTGACAGGTCTCCACTCCCAGCCCCATGGTGCCTCTCCAAATCCTTTTCCTGCCATTTTTGTCCCCTG